CTCTAGGGCTTTTCATTAGTATTAGATTTGTTATTGTTTAATAACAATAATTTGTTTTCTGCAGTGATGAGTGGAGCCCATCAGGAATAGGATTCTCTTTTAAGTGCTGCATAAACCTATAACAAAAATTAGGTCTCGCTCAAGAAAGCTTATGGTTTCAGGATAAACAGAAGTAAAAGGGAGCTTTGTCATTTCAACAGAGCCAGTATCTTCTGTATAAACAAAAGACCAACTCAGGCAGCTTTTAGCTTTGCTTTAAGCAGTGATCCTGGGGCATAAAAAAAAAACCAAGCTGTGGGGTTTTCTTAAGCACTAAGTCTGCTGGAGGAAGTATTCCTAGTATAGGCATTTTGGAAAGGGACGGCGTGGGAAATCAGAGAAGATGTTGGCTGGAAGAAAAGCAAGTACAGAATCAAGGTGCTATCATTATTTCATTGGCAACAAGAGTTTTGATAGGTTATAGAAAATGATGAGGTAAAAATCAGCTGTGGAGGGCCATCAAATGCAGGCATTCATTTTCTGCATTTTAACAAGAAAAAAAAAAGGGGGTCCTGTTGCTCTGCTGGAGCTGTGTAGGGATTTTTTTTACTCCAGCTCTGAAAGCATACTGTCAGAATCAATAATGCACATTGTCACTCTTTAGAGAGCAGGGAAACTGTGACTTAAACACATCCCAGTGCAGTAGCAGCTGAGAAGCAGATTACAGGCATGCAGACCCTGCTGCTCCTGTCATATTTTATGGGTAATACACAAACTAAATACTCCTAAATAAAGAGCAAGTGGGTTTTCTCCTGAGTCTGTAGCATGTTCAGCATCCCTGGTTCAAAATTACACTAAATGGAAGGGAATTAGGCATCTCTTCTCAGGGGTATTCTTGCCAGTTTCACAGCATTCCCTGTCCTTCTCCACATCACTCTTCAGAGAACCATTTCACCAGAAAATCAGGCTCCAGAGAAAGACATAAAGACTGAGGCAGGATGTCAGTTAAGGTACTTCTGTGTTATTCCAGTCTTTCTGTCTAAAATCCCCAGCATGAATAAAGCCTGTAAAGTTGAGCCAGACTGGAAGAGCTCCTCTAGCATAGCATACCTGTGCAGCTATACCTGCAAAAGCCCTTTCAGTGTAAACCTTTTCCCTGCTAATTACCCATATTGTCGCTTAGAAATAATCTGCCAAATCTAATTGCTTAGCAATGCTGGCCACAGCTCAACTCAGGCTAGTCACTCAAGGCAGAGTCAGGCTGTTGTAGATTTTCCTTTTATAGCTGGTCTATAGAGACTAACAGTCAAGTCTTGCAGCAGAGATTGTAGCTACAGTTGCTTTGTTCTTGGAGGACAATATATATTTCAGCACAGACATTACTCTGATCCATCAGTACCCAACTGAATGATGCATGCTTTTAAATTAATTTGATACCAGTGTGAGTGGAGAGTTGTTACAGCTTGGATGGATGGGTTGGTTTTTATCCTTACATTTTGTTTTCACTTTTAGTTTTCCTAGGCAAATAGTAACATTTTTAGCTAGCAAGATTTGGACTTTGGGGAGCAGTTACCGTCGTGAATAGCCTTCAGTAACAACTATATGGTTTTCCAGGAAGAGCCTGAAAGAACTGGTTAAGTTTTGATTTTTTTTCTGAAACATTAGGGAGGTGATAGCTGGTCTGTCGATTTGGGAGTGCAGTTTTTAGGCTTTTATTGAAATTTAGAGGACCTGACAAAAGGCAGATTAAGGCAATGCTGTGAATTTGGCATAGAAAAAAGACATGGAACTTAGCACTGCTGTGACAGCTTTCGGTGAACTCTCCATACAGGCTATGTCTATCCAGAAACAGATTATCTTTCCAAGGGCTAAGGTGTACATGTAGGAAAACGGCATGCACTAGTGAGATTTCCTTTTTTTATTTTCCTGGAGGAGCAGTCTGAAGGGTTTGGGTACTGAGCTCAACAAGACATCCAGGAATCTATATGTAAAGTGGCAATTTTTGCAGCAGAGGCTTGGACAGGCAGTTGCTAAAGGGCAGTGCAGAAGGAGTGTCTGGACCCATTTTCATTCTTCAAACCTGATGGGTTGGCAGTAACAGTTGCCTTAATGAGGTTAAGTCCTCCTGCTAATTCAGGTTTCTAAGAGTAGAGGTGCTTAATTTTTATTCTGGTAAGACTCTTGTAGTGAAAACCAGGCAGGACTGAGGCAGTGCCAGCAAGACAGAGTTTTTAAACCTGTGGACAGATGTTCCAGGTGCATAGGAGGATTGCAGCTTTGCAGTGCAGTAGGAGTAGACAGTCGTTGTCTTCTGCTTTTATGAAGACTAGGAGGATCTAGTAGCACCTCTGTCTCAAATCTTGGTTTTCCACAGCACAGAAATCCAGAGATTTTTCGTGCCATAAAGAATTGCTGAGCGATATCCTCAAATGAGGGGTTGGAGCTGCTCTGCTTATGTCCCTGAGTCAGTGAGCCTTCCTCATTTTACCCATATGCACATTTTTCTCCTTCTAGGTGAATATACTATCATGACAGCCCATTTTCATCTGAAAAGAAAAATTGGCTATTTTGTCATCCAAACGTACCTTCCTTGCATTATGACTGTGATCTTATCACAAGTGTCGTTTTGGCTGAACAGAGAATCTGTCCCTGCTCGGACTGTCTTTGGTGAGTATCCCACTTCTCCTGGAATGCAGAGAGGATCGGTCTGGATTGTGGAAGTGACTTGCTGTAACAGAACTGTGGTTCACTAATGTTTCTTTCTGCTTGAGATGTTGTAGATGTTTCCTCATTCTTTTCCAGTTTAAACTCAAAGTCCGTTTAAAAATGGATCTTTTTAGGTAAAGTTATGACTGAAATTGGTTAAGAATCAATTATGTGAACGTTAAGGACAGAAGACAGAAGAATCAGATTGGTATGATTTGTATTGGGTTTTTTCTGAGAACTAGAGGGGCTGGTCATAAGCTGAGACAGGGGAGAGTCACATTAGATATTAGGAGAAATGTTTTCTCTGTTAGGGTGTTGAGGCACTGGGATATTGCCCAGGGAGGTGGTGGAGTCACCATCCCTGGAAGTGTTTCAGAGGTGTCTGAATGTGGCACTGGAGGATCTGGTTTAGGGTTTAGAGGTTCCAGCAGTGACAGGTTAATGGTTGGACTTGAGGACCTTAGAGGTCTCCTCCAACCTTGATGGTTCTATGATTCTCTACGTGGGTAAAATCCTGGATGGTTCAGAACAACAAGCCATACATATTATCATATTTAGTGTATACTCTAGCTAAGCATTTGAAACAGATTTCACTTCAAGGCATTTTGTTTATCTCTGTTGTAAGATGTTTATCTGGGAAAACCATGTAGAGGTTAATTAGTGACAATTATCTCTATTACCATCAAACAAATTAATATGGCTTTGCATTTAGAAAATGTATATTTACTAAAGAAGCTGTTATGAAAAAAATCCTTCGGGGTGTCATTAAATTTCTTGATTTATCACTAGAAGATCGCAGAAAATAAACACTCTCTTAAGTGAAGGTTGATGAAATATAAAATTTTCACTGGATGAAGAATTAGGAGAGTGGGAAGAGTTTATTATGTAAAACTTTGTTCTCAAAGGAGTCATTCTTCTGTACAAACCTTCTGAAATCAGTTGGCAGCTTTGATCAAAAATCAGTTCAGCGAGTTGTTGGGGAAAATACACGTAGCAGCATCACTTTGCTGACCAGTGGTACCCACTCTAGGTCTACAAAGCTGTAACTGAGAGCTGAATTTTGTGCTCTTGGGGGGATCCTCCCACAGATTAAGGTAGTGGCAGCTTTGTCATTTATTGGCCTCTGGGAAAGGAGGAGCTGCCATCAAGGAAACCCCTGATAGTCAACAGTTTCATACATGCAACCTCTGTGTAAGAAAACAAAATAAGTAATCCCACTTTATTCTGACTCATTAGGGATCCCATAAGGGTTAGCAAACTGACCTCTGCCTCTTTTATTTCTTTCCTTCTTTGCAGGAGTAACAACAGTCCTCACCATGACCACCTTAAGTATCAGTGCCCGTAACTCTCTGCCAAAAGTGGCCTATGCTACTGCAATGGACTGGTTTATAGCTGTTTGCTATGCCTTTGTATTCTCTGCATTGATTGAATTTGCAACAGTCAACTATTTCACTAAGAGGAGTTGGGCATGGGATGGTAAAAAAGCCCTGGAAGCTGCAAAAATCAAGGTGATTCACTTATATTTTTTAAATACCTAAATTAAAAAGCAGGTACTCATCATAGTTCAGATAACCAAATGGTAAATTTTCAGACTGAAAGCTGAAAGTTTGTGAATTTCAGCTTCTTTGTGAAAAGCTTCAGCTTCTTTGTGAAAAGGGTATTTAATTACCCCATGACATACTTTCACCTTCCTATAGAGGAAAATTTGCAAGGAAATACAACACCACCTCTTCACAGACTGCCAGTTTCTATAATCTGTGTGAAGAGGACTGTGTACAGAAGGATATTGGGCACTGAGTACACATGGCATGGGATTTCAGGGACCAGATTTCTGATGATAGCACACATATAGCAGATCTCTGCAGAGCACTCACTGTGTGCCCTCCTAAATAAATGACAAAGCTCACACTGAGCTCCATCAGTCAGGGTCCCAACACAGTATCCCCAATAAAAGGGAGCAAAAGTGCAGTTCTGTGAAAACATGAACTTTGGAGTTTCACACTGAAATGGAACTTCTGGAATAGGACTGACTCTTGGTAAATCACCTCCTAGAGAGAGCTCATACCCATCTCCAAAGAGCCATGCAAAGAGGGACAGAGTAGAGAGTTCACATCAGCTGCCCGTGGGGCAGCCACCTCTGCAGGTGCAGGACTGTGTCACCCTGACAGCAGCTGCTGCTAATGCACGTGCCAGGTGGAATGTGGGTCCAGCAAGTCACTCTCAGCTTTTGCTGCCATCAGGGAAAGTTTCACCTGAGTAAGGGCTACAGAATCAAGGCAAACCCATCTGTTTGGTAGTCAAAGTCAGAACAGCCAACAGGCATTTATTGGCATGATTAATTACACGGCTTAACTTTTGGGTGAATATTTTGAGGACATGTTTCAGGACTTTGAGAACTTTCTGTTCCTGTGGTGTAACATTTTATGCTTTGTGCTGCAGAAAAAAGAGCGCAACTTGCTGGGAAATAAATCAACTAATACCTACAGCGCTGGCAAGTTGACCCCTGCACCAAACATGCCAAAGGACTCAGCCCCATCTGTCATCTCAAACACTACACCTGCTCCAGTGAAGCCTGCAGAAGAAAAGCCTGCTGAAAGCAAAAAGACTTACAACAGCATCAGTAAGATTGACAAAATGTCCAGGATAATTTTCCCAGTGTTGTTTGGAACTTTTAACTTAGTTTACTGGGCCACGTATTTGAATAGGGAGCCTGTTATTAAAGGTGCCAATTCTCCAAAATAAACTGAAGTTCTCTGAAGACACATGTGAGCCATACTTGCAAAGCAGATGCTACCAAGGAAAATTTGAGATCCAGATGAATTTCTACATTTGGGCAATATTCTTCAGGAAGTTTTTTGCATGTTTAATAATATGTACAAATAATATTGCCTTGATTGTTTCTACATGTAACCTCAGATGTTTTGGAGACGATTATATTACTTACAGCAACAGATCTTTATGAAAGATCAGAAGACATTGAACATGGCTTCTTTGCTGCTGAGTATCTTGCATTGATAGTTTACAAATAAAATAAGTTATATTTTTTAACTGTTCAAGTGTACTACATATCGTGGTTTTTATACTTCAGATGTACAGTCATACAAATATAGGCTTAACCTATATTTTACAGAAGAGCTCCACTATTGTCATCTGATCAGTTACTGAGTAACGCCAGTTGTAAATGTGCCAAATCAATAAGTGTAGGGCTATGTTTGAGCACCTTTACTAGTTACAGGTAGTGCATTACTCCACAGATAAAACTGCTCAGCACAATTTTCATTGGAAGTTAAATACAATGCATTAAATCCTGATGGGACTATGCTGATTTTCACTGCTTGAGACTCCAACTTGCAGTGAAATGACGTAGGGAGCAGGATGCTACTTGTGTAAATAAAGGTGGTGGAATCTTGCCCTTAAAAGAAAATGCGACGTTTGTTTGGATTTTGCATTCCAAGGAATTTTCTCTGATGATTCTCAGTATTTATTCCAAAAATTAGAGTTATATTGCATGAAATTAACATAGATTAGGAATATACTTGTGCAAATAAAACTTTTAACAACAGCAGTAGACATTTATATCAGGGTAAAGTAAATGATGTTTGGACATTTTCCCAAGAAGAAGATTGTGTTATATTAGCAGAGATTAACTGTAAAGAATTACAGTAATTCTGCAATAATTATTACTCGTTTCCCACAGCAAAAACCAATCAGCCAACACTAAGAAGTGTGATCAGAAGAAAAAAAAAAAAGATGAGCTTCATGACAGCAAGGTGTTTCAGTGACAATATTGACAGAAAGGTCTTTGTACTGTCCATCTGGAACTTTTCTATAAAACGCCTTGCTGCTGACAATGTGTTTTGCTTTCACAATGAATGAGAAAACGCAGTCTGAGTTTTCAGCTCTTTCCTCCTTGGCATCCTTTCCTTGTTCCAGAAGCTTTTGTAATTCAAACTTAATGTTTAAATAAAAAATGCATTCAACATTTGATTGCAAAATGTCATTCTTATACTGGTTATCCTTTGAGAAAGACCAAAAAAATCACAGCACAGGAGCTGAAGGATTAACTGGAATCACGTGTGTGAGCATGGCACATCCTCCTTGTTGGCCAGAAAGGAACATTTCTTGAGTGAAGACAGTGAATTGAGTTGTTCAGAAACAGGTGCTATCTTGCTATGGAGCATCAGCCACATGATATTTTTGGGACAGAGTGTTTGTGCATCACGTTGAGGAGAGGTCCTGGTCTGGGACTGGGAAGCTGTCTGGGTTCCTTGCATGTCTTCTCCTCAACCCCTTCATTCCTCAGCATTGCCAAGAAAAGTTCTCACACATCTATTCCTTTTTGAAGCTTTTTGTTTGATGCTGTGGAATGAGAAATTTGAAAATTCTCTCTGGCAAGGGAGAAGCCACAGTACTGAGCAGGTAAGGTGGAGCAATGCCCATCTATTCAATGCTATCCTGAGCCAAGGGAGGATGTGGGTTTTCATATAGCCTTCCCATGTGGCTTTGAGCAGCCACACACCTCCTTGTTTATCATCCTTTCTGGGGGATTCTTTTGGCCCTTTGGGGATCAAAGCCAGTGACAAATTGCAGTGGCTATTGAAAGGCAAAACTTTATAATGTCCTATGGCTATTTCTTGAGATGAGAAACTCAGAGAATTTCCATGAATGAATTTCATGAATGAGAAACTCAGAGCAGTCTTTACAGCATCTTCTCCAGGGCCATTCTGTCTGCCTCAGGTGGTTTCCTGAGCTTTGTTTTATTTGCTTACACCCAAGTCTGATTCTTACACTGTACAGCTCAGTGTTATTTTCTGGTCTCCATTACAGGACTCAGTGCCAGGACCTCTAAATATGACCTATTTTACTTACATAGGAAGTCTCATCTTCACTGAATACAGACCTATCTGCAAAAAGCAGTGTATGATCACAGGATCAGGTCCTTTGCTTTATTTTAGTAAACAATTTATCAGTGTTTACCTGTTGTATAGAGAACCTGATAAGTATTTGCCAAAAACAAATGATACCTCAGTCGTTCTGTACAAAAATCACTTCTAGTTGTATTGACTGTCCCTTTCTGTGTTTGAAGGTAAAGGCATAAAATAATGATTAGAGCTCATTCTGTTCACGTGGACTTGATAAATCAGGTTGAAGTTTCCTGAAGAAACCATCAGTCTTATGTTTCTTGAAGAGTCCCATGCACTCCTAATCCTTGCTGAGAACTAAAATGATAGAAGAATCCACCTTGCAGCATGTGCTTGTGCATGAACAGTGGGTGTTGTCCCATAGTGTGGAGGATGCTTCAATAAGGTGACAGATTCCAGGCTGGAATACTTCAATATCACTGTCTAACATTACACAATACCTAACAATTTCAATCTTTCCACGGGCAGTGGAACTGTTTGTGTGGCAGACCATTGCTCACTGAGGTGGCACCTGAAGCACAGGAGATGGGAGCATCTCCCAGATCCTGGCTCAGAGCCTTGTCCTGCTCCAGGCTGGGGTGGTGTCAGGATGTGCATCAACCTCCTCTGGTTTCCCCTGAAAGGAGCTTGGGGTCTCAGGAGTGAAGTGCCACTGTGTCAGTGTCTCCAGCATGGGAGAGCTGGACCCTGCAGGACACAGCTACTGCACAGCTCAGTTATGGCCAGAGAAAGTAATAAATAGGAATTGCTTCTTATTGGGATTTTCCTGTATACTTTCATGAAAAAAGAGTTGGAAAGTGAATTATAACAATTCAGCACTGGAGAGTGTGTGCAATCTGCTTCCAAATTTCCTCACTTGCACCAGTTAGGAATGAAAGAACACGTCTAATACAAAGGGTTTTTTATTTCTGATATTTGAGTTGTGCCAGCTTACTCCAAGGATGAATTTAAGCAACAATGTATTTTCTAAATCTTAACCCTCTTCTGTTACCTCAAGTTGTGTTCTGCTTTTCTTCTAAATGGAATATGCCCTCTGTGGAATAACTAGATACACTTGTACAAAACTGAGAAAGAAAAGATTTCATGAAATAATCTTGTCTTTCAAAAATTCTTGCTCAATGTGTAAGTTAAACTTTCAAGGAAACTGAATGAAACTGCTTTGCTGTTCAGTTTATGCAGACAAGATGAATGTAGCACTTGCACAGTTCCTTGTTTTTTACACCTGGAGATAAAGTTCTTTGTAATAAGGATATTTTTCCTCTAACACCCTTGCTTCTCAAATTGGAACTGACACTGGAATAATCAAATTGCTTGAATTCTGTCTGGTTTTTTCCATGTTTTATCTCACTTAAGTATGGCCATTGCATGGGAACACTCTCAGGTGACATCCTTACTACCAATTTTGCATCTTCCACTATGTTGTTATAGACATTTGTTCAATTTTGAGGAAGACAGAAAGACTGGAAGTTAGATTTTATGAAGCCCAAAGGACTTCTGAAGGATCTTCCTAGGATTACCACTAATTTAGACTCAAGTGTAAGTGTTCTATTCTGTCCTGCATTATTTGTCTTTTCATTGCCATCCCCAAAAGCAATTATCACTTCTCACAGTCATCACGTCTTAAAAATTGCTGTTTAAATTGGCCCTGGCTAAAAACAAAGTGAAAAGGAAATTAAGAATGTTGACTGAAGATACCAACTCATTTCAGCTGGATGAACAGGGAGAGTTTTTGAGAAATACTGATAGATGGCCGTGGACTGGTCCAACAATGATAGCTTGGATTTGTTGGTGGGAAAATTACTACACATAAACCAAACCTCCCCCACATAACTTGCTGCATAGATGATCATAAATGGTAGAATGAACTGCCCATGGCAGCACAGTGGATCTGTGCTCAGTTATTCATTCACTGCAGGCTGGTGCTACTGACATCCCATGCTGAAGGACAGAGCTGAGGGCACACACAAAGTGTCTGGGACTCTGAGCTTCAACTTCCTACCTCAAGGCAGATTTATTTATAAAAGCAGAGTGCTTCCAGTGGGAGCAACAGAGACCTTCAGGCAGAAGAAACTGGGTCTAGACTCTGCTGAATCTCTAATAAGCCTCCAGGTGGAGGATTCCAGGAGCTACAGGAGATTCCAGGAGGAGGATTCCAGGTGGAGGATTCCAGGAGCTACAGGAGATTCCAGGAGGAGGATTCCAGGTGGAGGATTCCAGGAGCTACAGGAGATTCCAGGAGGAGGATTCCAGGTGGAGGATTCCAGGAGCTACAGGAGATTCCAGGAGGAGGATTCCAGGTGGAGGATTCCAGGAGCTACAGGAGATTCCAGGAGGAGGATTCCAGGTGGAGGATTCCAGGAGCTACAGGAGACAGATTTCAGGCACTGTTTGTCTCAGAGCAGCCCCCGTTGCCTCCTGTGCTGCTCGTGGTGTGGATAGCACTGGGGTGCCAAGGAATCACCAGTGAGGGCTCTCCTTAACACCTAATTGCAGAAATGTCCAGGTGCCTTATTTCAGGGATCTGTCTAGTGCTAGAGGGGAGTCTCCCAGTTCTAGCAAGTGAGGTACTTGATCTGTGAGCCCTATTCCCTCCCTCTGCATTTCCCCCCTTATTCATGCTAACTAGCTCCCTGGCAGCTACTTTCAGAGAGTCCTATCTCCCCCCTGCACAAGACATCCCACAAAGGTATCCTTTAGGTTGAAAAGATAGTCACCTTCTGTGAAAATGCAATAGAAGGTAAGTTAAAATGTAGATTCATTTTACGCTAGAGAATGTAAACATTTTATTATCACTACAGGGTATGATAAAATGTTATTTTGTTAAAACGTGTGCTGGATAATCACAACCCTTACCTGAATACACAATTTGAAAAGGCTCAGTGAAGGCTGAGGCTGTGCTTAAAAGGGAAATGAAAGTATGAAGAGGAGAAGCACCAATGGGTGAGGCATGAGGTTTAGCAAAGAGTGGTGCTGAAGTATCCCTTTGGCATTAACACACAGCTCACCATGGACAACGGAAAGAAAACCTTAAACATCACCTTTT